CCTTTTTTGTCAAATGAATATGATTCTTACTAACTGATTTCCTCCTCATGTTACCTACATGCAAATATGCAATGTCACATTTAACAATTTCAGACTTACAATCAGAATAAGAAAAATAAGCCACAATTCCAGTTAACATCAATGACTAGAAAGAAATCGACCATTAGTTTATCAATAAACATTAAGTCTCTAGTTATGACAAAATTCTAAAATACAAAGCACAGAGGTAGTCCAAGAATCAAATATAATCGCCCACGCAAATATGATATGGTTATACACAACACAATCGATCTTGAACATGCACATGAACGAATCATTCTACAAAACCCGACATCAAAATGTTAGAAACCAAAAAAGAAAAATTTAGGATTTACCAAACTTGATGTGTTCTGAGCTTTAATACAGTGCTTTTTGGGTCTATAGAGATGATTCCACCCAAAATCGAAGGTTAATCCTTGTCCCTTTTTGTCAGAAATTGGTCCATGTCCAATACGCACTTAATAGTGAGTGCAAACGGTCATTGGGAGAATAGTACCCAACAAGAGTCGGGGTCGATTTATGCAGGGAGTTACTAGGGGTTTTAGGAGTATACACTTGACGAAAACGAATGGAATAACTAAATGCACTTCCACCAAAAGTTTTTATTTCTACGTCTAATTTTACTCTAGCAATGATAAGCTAAGAAAAGAAACTAGAAGCAAACGATTGTTTTTGGTGTCTTTCCAAATAGTTAAAAAGCCTAGGGTTTTTACCATAACCTAGGTGTTCGCCTAATGGGCTAAATATGTTAATACTTATTTTGTTGATTGGGGTATATTATAGCTCTCAACTCTACGTTACCCACTCAATATATCTCGGTCAAAGAGTGATTTTTCCCAATTTGTCTTTCTCAAGTCCAAATGGGTATCAAACAAATCAGGTTCTAACTATCTCTAGTTTGAACCCTTTAATTAGGCTAATCAAACCCCTCAATTAGCCGAATTCCTTGTTAGACAAGTTATCCTAGACTAGGTCCATCTTTCTCAATTAGAGACCAAATCAAAAAGGCATGAATCAATGTTTGTAACCATTAATTCTAAAATTGAAGCATAAACTAAGCTAAATAATCAAACAAATCATAAACAAGTATTAAATTTAGTACCTTTAAGGTTTACACACTAGGGTTTGGGTCACAACCATATTAAGAATCTAGCTACTCATAGTGGGAATTGAAGAAATAAAGAAGAAATTCTAATTAAACTCATAATCTATGATTAAAATGATAAAAATAATATTAAACACTAAAATAGTCACAAACTTCCAAAAATGGCAAAATGTAACGGCTACAGTAGCTCAAGCTTCAAAACTTGACGTAAATATGTGAAACTTGTCTATTTATAGTGGCCCATCACTGATGAAAATGCCCCTCAGGAGGTTCTGCAGCCGCACAATTCTGGATTGCGGCTGCGAGGCATCTTCCGCGGCCGCACAATTCTTGTGTGGTCCGCACTTCAGCAAGGCTTCAGGTTTTGGTCTTGTGCACACTCTTTAAACTTTGAATCATTTTTCAATGCAGACCTTGTTCTGCAGCCGCATAATTCATGTGTGCTCCGCACATTGGCCAAATTCCTGCTGGGCTCTTTCACTTGATCTACGGCCGCAGATGGAATTCTACAGTCCACACTTTCTTCTACGGACCTCATTTCTTTAGTTCTGCACCCTTTTCTTGCCCTGTGATTTGGAACACTCCCTTTTGAGCCGGATTTCATCTTGGGAGATCAAAATTCCAACATTCCTGTAATTTGCACAGTTTCATTAGTTTCGGGAACATAAATCAATACTTTCGGACTAAAACAAAAGCAAAAAGTTGCTAATAAGTAGTCAAAATCCACACTTATCAACTCCCCAATCTTAAGTTTGCTTGTCTTCAAGCAAATAAATTATTTCCCACCTCCTAGAGTTAATGGTCACTTCAGCTACTCAATAGTGAGGCAGTCACACATCAGTTGGGACCAACAATTACTCACACTACTCATGCATTATCAACAAGGTAACAAGTCAAATATTCATGCACATATAGTACAATGTGACATTTAGCTTCAAGAATTGACTTTACTCATCAAAGACTCTTGTTCTATCATGTAGGTCATGGTGGACTCCAAACTCTTCCTCCTCTACTTTCCATTTGCCAAACTCTCTTAAAAAATTAGCACTCAATCTTAAGATTCATAAAAGGTTCACTCGTCACTCACAAGAGAATGTCACAAGTACGACTTCAAGTACCATAGGCTTGCCCCTCATGTAGATTGCCACTAATGTAAGCTCACTTAGTTTAAAATCAAGTAGGAATTATTTAGGGTTGTAATGAAGGATTTTGGATTAGGTTAGGATACCATGTGGGTAACTGGTTATGCCTTTCCTTAAGCACTCTACTTTCATTTCTTGGCTCACAATTGCCAATTCTTAGAAGAATTTTCTTTTCATTAGGGACTAGAGGGACTTAACATCACTCTTTCTTGTTCATTTCATTATTTTCTCCCTTTTTTTTAGTTGCTCATGCTAGGGATCATTACCTCTTTTTGGATACATCAACCCTTCCACTTATTCACGTTTTGCATTTTTCTTTTTGTTCTTTTCTTTTCTTGCCTTCTCTTTTCATAGAGATCATTTCTTATCTCTTTTTGTGCCTTGACACCTTTTTCAAATTCCTCATCTCTCCCTCAAATTTATGTTTTAAGCCACTTGTTTCACAAAAGTGTTAAAAAAAAATTGGGCGCCAAGAGAGGGTCACGACAAAATAGATAAAGTCTTATTACATGGTTATCAAATGAGAAAGGCTAGAGGCTCAAAGGGGTTGACTAGGGATAACGACATTGGTTGGTGATAGAAATCTCAAACAGGCCAAGGAAAGCCTACAATCACCTCTCAAACCAAGCAAAACTTAGGATTTCTCCTTGAAACACATTCGGGGCAAGTTCTAGACCATTCGCATGGATACTTGTACTAGAAACAATTCATCTCACCCCTCACGTAGCTAGACTGTAAAAGAGTATAAAGTCGAGAGCCTACAATGACCATATTCAAGTATAAAGATCACTATGGTCCAATTAAACAACTCAATGATTACCAAAGTCACTTAAGAGTCACAAAGTCACTAACTAGAGTTATTTCTTTCAAAAACCTTGTCTCTACCCATAAGCACGTAGTTAAGTGTGTTGGTACCAATTGAAGCATGATTAAATCTTTGAGAATGACTTGATTACGTCTTTTTATTCATTACAACTACTATTATTACCTAAACACATAAACGAACTTATTCCCTTAAGAAGGTTGTAACGCGATCCATCATTGGGACGAGTCACTCAGTTCACACAACAACTACCTTTGGAAAGAACTGTGGCGTTAAGAAAACCTAAGGCTTATTATCTACTAAAGTACAAAAAAAAGTTACTTAACAAAACAAGAACTAATATGGAAAAAATAATAAGCTAATAAGCAAAAACTACTAAAAAGAGGTCAATATACATAAGAGAAAAGAGAGAAGCTAGATAAATACAAATAAGAAAAGAAAGAGTATCATCAAATTATTACAGACCAAATGTATCAGTGTATCAACTTGTCAAATAAACTCCACCCTCCCCCCCCCCTCTCCTCCTGAATAAAAGTAAGCATTTTCCTAATGCTTAGCAAAATAAGAGTAAAAGAAGAGAGGGTGAAGAAAACTCCCTAAAGATTCTTAGATATCTCAGTGTCCCCAGCAATGTCATCTCGCTCAGGTTCAGCTAACTGAATCACATCATCATCAAATCTAGGTTTGAGTGGGTTGGTGATCATCTCTCACACTGTCTCAGCAACGTCGTCAGCAAGGTCTGGCTAGTTAGACTGGCCAGCTGGTGCTACCGGTGCATATGGTGCTGAAGGATCTGGGGCCGACTGGTGCGGGTCAAGCAGCATGTCAAAGGGAAGGTCGCTAGATGTAGCAAGTCTAGTCACCTCCCTCCGGAGCTTGTCTACTGATCTCTTGCTTACCTGGGACTTCCTCATCTTCATTACTTTTTTTTCCTAGCTCCTCTATAACTGACCCGTGCCGCACCAATGTACCCATAATAGTCTTCTGATTGTGTAGAATCTTCTTCAGTGTCTCATCAATATCACAAGGAGCATGTGGTGTTTGTGAAGTGGACTACGCTAAAATAGTACTAGACAAGTCAGACAACTTAGAAGTAGTCAGTTGTATCCATTTGTTGAGACTTTCCAATGTCTAGGAGACTCGTAGAGTGGGTAGGGGAATTGTGGGCACATGCACTGCTTCAGAGAAACTCTAGTGGTTGTGGTCGGAGATGAAGATAATAGTGGAGGCATAGCAGCGGCACTGGTAGAAGGCTCATGATCGGTGGATGGAAGATCAACTGCCTCAGAATCTACCTTTGTTGGCTCATCAGACTGGCCTGTGGTGGTAGAAGGTTGGACTTTCTTCTTTCGGTTGGTCGTATCCATCAGTGGCATAGAATTAACGGACGAGGTATTCTTTGGCATTCTCTACCCTCTCGGTGAACCACATCCATCCCTTTCGTGCCATGAACTATCTCAATATAGTTGGGTTGTACTTCTCCAAATCCTTTAATAGAAACTATCACTCAAGAGTTAGCAACCTCACTGGCCACCACATACAGAAACTGGTGAAGGCGACCAGACTGACAAATCAATCCTCCCAAAACCTCTTTCTTCTTTGATCTTTCAAGCCCCATAGTTGTATCATCTCCTCATCTACCATCATTAGGGATATCGTATATAACTTGTGCCTTAGGGACTGGTGTAGCCGATGGCTCAGAAGCCTGACTAGCACTCTCCAATCCCTTGGAGGTGTTGTGAGATAAAGATGGCTCGTCCCTAAGCTGGTATCTCCCCTGCGGCCTCGACTGTGTGGCCGGTTGTTCCTCATAAATAGAGGCAGAGTTGCCCTCTGACACCTCCCTAGATAGGACATAGGATCTAGACTCGGAGAGATCTGCACCTCTCCCTCTACCGGCTGTTGTTTTCTTTCTTATTGTCTTGGGCTGGCCAAGTGGCAAGGCACTTTTTCCTTGACCTCGTGAAGATTTACCTCTCCCTTTTGGAGCTTTGCCTCGTCCTCTTGATCGAACCATTGTCTGTATCAAGCAGAGGAGATTGTTAGTTGCAATTCATTGTTCAAACACATACAGGGTACATGTAGGTAAGGGAGAAACCATAGGACATAGTGGGGCTGTATAGTTGAGTCATGCCTGCAGGATAAGGGATCTGCGGTCCATACAATTTGTCATGGGGCCGCAGATGGGAACTCGCGGTTCGCACATTTCTGTTGTGCGTCCATGGAAAGGAAGTGCGGTTCGTACATTTGAGATTACAACCGCACTTCTGAGGCCCAAATTTTTGAACTCTCTGAAGATAAAGAAATGGTCAATCTACGGCCGCAATACAATTTCTGTGGTCCGCACAATTTGGCTTGCTACCGCACCTTGGAGTCTCAAAAGTGAAGACTCTCTGATGACAGAGAAAAGCCTAATTTGCAGTCACAAGAGGAAATATTTGGTCCGCACAATTTGACCTGCGCCACAGATTCCTACCTCATACAAGTGTCTAAAATGCATATCTATGGACTGCACAATTCAAGTGCGGCCGCATAATTCAAACCATTATGAACATACAACTTTTTTAGTCTAAGATTTTACAATTTCTTGCACAAGTAGGCATGGAAACATGTAAAAGCATGAAATTTCACTAACTCAGTCCCTGTAGAGCATGTACCAAGTTAACCCAGTTAAGATCTACCCCACATGAACACACATTGGAACTTTAATAACAGATGGCCTAAAAAGAACTAAAAAATCTACTAATTAAACTAACTTAAAAATTAATATGAAATTGAAGCATACCAGATCAAGTGAATGCACTGAGCGAGTAATCTAGGTGGCTCTGTGTGTGGACAGTGAAAATCTCCAAGAAAAATCTGCAGAATGATAGTGTTTTGTTCACAGAGGAAAAAGTATAAAATGAGGACCACTGTTCTATTTATACCCAAAATTTTGAGAAGGGAGAAGAGACGAGTGCGGCCTCAAATTTTCATGTGCAGTCCGCACCCTACCACCTAGTGGTTATTCTCAGAAACCAATCTGCGGTCCGCACAAATAAAGTGCGATCCGCACGCTCTTGAACAATTAGCCATATTTTTGTCCACAATTCTTGTAAGTCACTCACCCCTGTAGCACACTTCAAATCAAGTTAGAACAAAAATAACACCTACTTACAAAAGAAAAAGGAAAAGAAACATGGGTTGCCTCCCAAGAAGCACCTAATTTAACGTCGTGACACGACACATAATACCCTCAAGTTAAATGAATGACTGCCACAACATGGCTATCTCCAACCTTTCACAAGCAGTGCTTTACCCGATGACCATTGACTCAGAATACTTCATTATTTTTGTTCTTCAAGTCTAATGCACCAAAAGATTTCACACCCACAATTTCAAAAGGTAGGGCTTATCCCCGAATATCCACCAAGGTCCACCCGATAACCTTCTTCCTCTTTTGTAGCACCGTCAATGTGGAATCTACCTGCACGTTAGTCAAATAAGAGGAAAACGGTAAAGTAGAACAAGGACCAAGAAATTCTACCAAAGATGTGGAGGCAATGGCTTCAACTCCAAGGTAGGAGGCTCTTTAATAGAAGGCTTTGTAGGAGGAGTTCTCCTATTTTCAATATCCAAGGGCAATTTCCAGGGTGCATAGTTGTACAACCCCATTCGTGGGAAAGAGATCACACATTCCATGAAGCAATCCATCTCATCATCATCAAAGTTAAGCAAGATGACCTCCAACATTGATTGTAGTACTTATTTTATCAACAATAACATCGGTCACCAAGTCCATAAAAGAACACACCTTATTTCTATTTGGCTCCCGCATGGACTTACACATATGGAATACCACTTTTTCATCATGACCAACCTGGAAGGTGAGTTCTTCGGCTTCAACATCATAAAGAGACTTATCCATAGCAAGGGAAGGCCTCCCAAGAATAATCGGCACTTCGTAATCAACCTCACGATCTAGAATGACAAAATTTGTCAGAAGAATGAATTGAAGAAACATGAACCAAAACATCTTCAATCACTTCCAATGGCCTCTTCATGGTACGATCGGCCATTTGCAATCTCATAGAGGTGGGTCTTGGTTGCCCAATTCCCAAATTCTTGGAAACCGAATAGGGCATCAAATTGATATTTGCCCCAAGATCACAAAGAGTTTTAGCAAACTCGACACTTCTAATTGTAAAGAAATTGTGAAAACACTGGGATCCTCCAACTTAGGAACCATTGAATGCTCAATTGCACTCACTTGATGAGTGACTTTGGTGGTCTCAAAATTCATTGACTGCTCTTTTTGTCACAAGATCTTTCATAAACTTTGCATAACCGGGCATTTGTTCCAAAGCTTCAACTAATGGCATATTAATTGAGAGACTAGTCATCATTTGGATGAACCTCTTGAATTGATTCTCACCATTTAGCTCGGAAAGTCTTTGAAGGTATGGAGGCGGAGGGTTAGGCAATGGTGCCTTAGCCTTTTGCACTACTGGCTTTGGTATGTCAATAATGTGTTCCCTAGACGGTTTCACTTTCTCTTGAGTCTCTTCCACACTATCATCAATGTCAATCCTAACTTCATCATAAGATTGCACCACATTGTTCGGGATCTCTTCTTCTTGCATCACTTGATCATCATCAACACGTTGCCTTCTACTTGAGGTGGGTGCATTCCCGCCTCTTCCACTTCTTGTGATAGCCGCCACGCATGCCCTATATTGTTACCACCCTTTGGGTTTACCACCGTGTCACTTGGTAGTGCCTCCTTAGTTCAAGAATTTAGAGTTTGAGAGATTTGCCCGATTTGAACTTCTAGGATGCGGATAGATGTGTTGTGTGAGGCAAGTTGGGCATCTGAATCAACATTCTTTTCCATCATTTGCTTAAACATATTTTCAATACGGCCCATCTCATTATTTGAAGAACTCGAACCATGATAAGGATAAGGAGGTAGGTTGCTTGGTTGTTGGTACATTGGGGGCCTTTGAAAACACGACCCCCGGTTGCCTTGATTGTTGTTCCATCCGCCTTGATTATTACCCTCCCAATTTCCTTGGTTGTTTCCAATCCAATTTCCTTAATTGTTGTTGTTATACCAATTCCTTTGATTATTGTTTCCACTCCAATTTTCTTGATTGTTAGAATTCCAATTTCCTTGATTGTTTTGAGATCTCCATTGTTGTTGGCTTGGGCCTTGGAAGTTGTTTCTTTGCCCTTGAAAATTATTCACATATTGTAGTTCCACTTCTTGTTTATTATAGGATTCATTTTGCTCAAATCCACGATCTTCTTGCACTTAAGTTTCCACTCGATTTTGCACTTGTGGACCCTTGGTCCTCCTCTTGTTCACCATCATGTACACTCCTTACATATCATTGACTTGCTTAGGAGTTTGCACTTGATTTAGTTAGGCCTTTGCTAGTTGAATCATGGGTAGTTGTCAATTCGGCAATGGCTTGCCCATGGTCTTGCAATTCTTTGTGAAGGTGGATCATATTCAGGTCACCTCGTGGAACATTGGCCCAGGATTGCCAAGCCGATGATGTTTCCGCCATTTCAGCCAAAATCTCACATGCATCCGCATAAGGCATAGTCATAAAGTCCTACTTGCTAGTTGATTCACTACACATTGGTTGGTTGTGTTAATCCCACGATAGAAGGTTTGTTGAATCATGTTTTCCGTCATATCATTATTGGGACATTCCTTAACCATTGTTCTATACCGCTCCCATATCTCGTGTAATAGTTCATTCGGCTCTTACCTGAATGCCAAGATCTCATCTCGAAGTGTAACCATGTGTCCGGGAGGAAAGAACTTAGAAATGAACTTTTCTGCCAACTCCAAGTGTAAATCGAATTGTTCGGCAATCGTTCGAACAAATCTGAAGCTTTTCCCCATAGAGAGAAGGGAAAAAGCCTTAGCTCCAATGCATACTCGGAGACATTTGTTTGCTTTATCCCCCAACAAGTGTCCACAAACTCCTTCAAATATTTATACGCATTTTGTGTTGGAGCACCGGTGAAGAAATCTCGTTGCTCAAGCAAAGTGAGCATCAGATTGGTGATTTGGAAGTTGTCCGCCCTAATACGGGGAGGGACTATTACATTAGCATAACCTTCGTTGGCCAATATTCAGTGTGGAGCCGCTCGTGGTGGAGGTAGGGAGGAGCGGGCACATAGTCATGAGGAGCCCGGCCTCTTCGATTGGCATGAGGTTCAAGAGGTACCTCCTCAACTTGCTCATCCTCGCCATCCACATCCCCCAAAGGCACATTTCCGAGATCATTGTTTGCTTCAATGGTTGTACCTAAAATTTCTCACACAAGTTAGTAACACAGAAGGAAAGAAGATATTCAAAAACAAACCCAAATATATAGCTAACCTCATTTTAACTCCCCGGCAACGGCCCCAAAAATTAGTCCACATCCAATCCGCACTCAATAGTGAGTGAAACAGTCGTTGGAAGAATAGTACCCAACAAGAGTCGGGGTCGATTTCTGCAGGGAGTTACTAGGGGTGTTAGGAGTATACACTTGACGAAAGCGAATGGAATAACTAAATTGCACTTCCACAAAAGGTTTTGATTTCTAATTCTTATTGTTATACCCCATTTTAACACAGATCAAATTAAGGTATAACATATTGGTGATTCCTTAATTAATTATTAACTAAAGAGTCACTACCTAACTATATTAAAAGGTGAGTTAAGGTACCCTAAATTATCTATTATTAACTCTGTATGGTCTACTAAACATTAGAGATTCTAAAAAGGGTTCAATTAATCTTAAAGAGAAGGTGTAAGGCACTCCTTAAGATCCATATTAAAATGGTTGACCAACCGAACTTAAATTAATTAACCAAGGTTTTGTAAAATCATTAAAGGGTAAGGAAAATGTCTAATTAAAACTTTATAAGTAAAATATAGATCACTTGTAAAACTCCACGTTTGAATTTGAAGATTCAACTCTCATAGAACATCTAGAACAAAATGAGCAGAGGTTCAAAGGAACGTCATTTTCGAAAAGATCAAATCTTAAACTAAGATACTTAAGAAAGCAAATGCATTTTTGTTCTTTTAAAAGGATCAAGATCTCGAAAGCATGATATTAATTTGACTTAGTGTTGTAGGAAAATATTAGAGGGAAAACTTTTAACTAGGCTAAAACTGATATTCTTTCTTTTTAAGTCATAATCATACAAAATATATGCTCTTTTTATGTGATAAAGAAAAGTATCTTGATTGTAGGATAGAGGGAAGGACCTAAGTGATTAATAGAACTCTACTATTAATCATATTCTGAATGTGAGTTTCAACATAGAATCCAAAAACAAACTTGAGATAAACCCAAACACATAGATCAACAATCATAGAAGAGTTAAAATAGGACAAATGATAAAGAAAATAGAGGAAAAATGCCATAGACATCCCCAAGAAATTTTTACTTGTTTTTCTTATTGTGATGATTCTATGCGAGGATGAAGAGTCTTGCATTAAAATTCCATGTTGCTCCAAAGTATACATGCCACGAAAAGGAATAGAAACTAATTCTTATTAATATATGAAAGCCAAAATAAGAGAAACATAGAATGCACATTTGCCAAATATATAAATGACTTGAACCTGACATGAAATTTACATATGCCTAAAAACTTAACAGTGTTTCAAACAATGGCATTGTAATGAGATCCTAAAGAAAATGATACTTGACATTAATACACTCAAACTCAAAATGTTCTACTCTATGATCATACTATTGCAACTTGGAGTCATTTTTAAACAAGCCGTGAAACTAACTAAATTCTTGAGTGATAAATTATATTTAGACAAAGGTAGGTGATTCAAGTTTTATGGATAAGAAAACTAAGTACCGGGTGTCTATAATAATATTACAAAATTATGTATCTTCTAAGCAAATCAAGTTTTCTACCAGATAAAGAAACTAAAGCTATTTTTTAATTATTATTAATATTATTTAATCAAAGCAAACTGTTGTCCTATAATAGTCTAGGAAACTAGAATGCCAAATCACACTTTCGTTTCTATATAATATCTCGGGTTAAAACATAAAAAGAGAGACATGGCAGAATAGAACAATTTTTATGAGCATCTCGATATTTATGGAAAGAAATATTCATAGACAAAGAGGTTCCAACAAATCAACACAATCGCAAATCAATCTAGGCATCAATATTATTTAAGATAGACTTTAGATATGGTTTCTAAGACAGAGACAACTCTATAGTCATATTTGAAGAAGAACCAAAATATTTTTTATTTTTATTTTTTTATGATGAAATGCTATTCAAGATTCACAATAGAAATAAATCTACACCAACATTCTCTAATACAAAGATCCTAACGCATAAATTTCTAAAATGCAGTATTTTAACAATCAAAAAATAAATAGAGTGGAGTAGAATTTACCTTTTGTGGGGCAGTGAACTAGGACTTTGAGGGCTTAGATCTACTACTCCTTAGTTTTCGAGAATATAAAAATGGATATTAAATATTGAGAAATTTTCCACAGATTGTAAAGTTTAAGATTAAAAGAAAAGTAGAGTAGATATAAATTTAGTTTTTTGGGGGGAAATTTTCTGGTCATTCCAGCTTGGTGAGGCTGGAGCTTTGAGGAAGTATTTATAGGTAAAAATAGCTAGAATTGAGATTTGAGTTTTGAAATTCAAAAAAAAAGATATAGGGAGTCACGGGTCTTGAATTCCAAGAGAGCCGTTTGAAGAGATCTTCATAAGAGATATTGACTGAATTTCCCTATTACTTTAGATTTTCAAAGATTTGGCCTTGACAATTCATAAACAAGTAAAGATTCAGTTTGACTATTATTTGCACTTTGTACCCTTTTGCTTGAAATAGGAGAGAGGGAATAGGAAGCATCTGAATTTTTGTGAAAATGGTGGGATATGCTCTAGCACGCAGGGATTTGAAAGTCAAGAATTGGCCAAAAAAATAAAGGAAAAGTCAAGAATTGGCCCAAAAAAAATGAAGGAAAAGTTAAGATGAAAGGAAAAGGAGGTAAGGATTGAAAAGGATGAAAAGAGAAGGGGGCGTTTATTTTCTTGGTGAAAGAAAATATATTTTGACTTATTGTAAAAAATAAAAGTGGAGAAGAGGACAAAGGAGTGGGGTAGCGTGTGGCTTAGTGTATAAGTGTGAGTTTGGCGTGTGATTTTTTATTGTTGGTACTGATATGGTAGTTACGTGGACCTTATGTGGAGATGACATGGCACATAGTAGAGTAAGTGGGCTGGTGGGAGCAGGCCTACGATTGGGCTATTTATGGGGTTGGGCTAAGTGATTTGAGAATGTAATATTTGGGCAATTAGCCTCCTTTCTTCTTGGGTATTTCTTTGGGCTTCTACTTCTTATTAAAATCTCTTAATTAATCATGTTATTTAAATAACTACTTAAATTGTTCGACTCGCTTTATCAAAACTTATAATTTGCTAGCATTTAATTTTGCACAATAACTATTACACTAATTGTAAAATAAAGAGTAAAATTTTGTAAAGTATAGAATTAAAATAAATACTACTATTTGATTAAATGAACGAAAGTGATAGACTTTTCGAAAAGACAACAATAATATTAAAATAATAGTAATAATAATAATAGAGATAATAACAATAATAATACTAATTAGGTTTATTTTGGGATGACAATGGTAAAATAATTGTTCTTAAGCTATTAGTGATATTAGAAGCTTAAAGAAATATTTTAGAAGAAAGGAGGGACAAAATTGGATGTCTAACCCTAATTTTACTCTAGCAATTATAAGCTAAGAAAAGAAACTAGAAGCGAATGATTGTTTTTGGTATTTTTTCAAATAGTTAAAAAAACCCAGGAATGTGACCATAACCTAGTTATTCGCCTAATGGGTTAAATACATTAATACTTATTTTGTTGAATGGGATGTATTATAGCTCTCAACTCTATGTTACCCACTCAATAGCTCTCGGTCAAAGTGTGATTTTTCCCAATTTGGCTTTCTCAAGTCCAAATGGATATCAAACAAAATAGTTTATATGAACTTAAGTTGAGTTGTCGCTATCTCTAGTTTGAACTCTTTAATTAGGTTAATAAAACACTCAATTAGCCCAATTCATTGTTAGTCAAGTTATCCTAGACTATGTCCCTCTTTCTCAAGTAGAGATCAAGTCAAAAAGGCATGAATCAATATTTGCAACCATTAATTCTAAAATTGAAGCATAAATTAAGCTAAATAATCAACACCCAATCATAAACAAACATTAAATTAAGTACCCATAAGGTTTACACACTAGGGTTAGGTCAACCCTAGTAAGAATCTAGTTGCTCATAGTGGGAATTGAAGACAATAGAGAAGAAATGCTAATTAAACTCATGATCTATGATAAAAATGATAAAATATAATGTTTAAACACTAAAATAGTCACAAACTTCCTAAAATAGAAAAATGTAACGGCCACAACAGCTCAAACTTCGAAACTTGACCTAAAAATGTGATACTCGTCAATTTATAGTGGTCTAAAATTCATTGACAAAAATGCCCCTCGGGGGGTTCTGGCCGCACAATTGCATGTGCGGTCCGCAGATTTCTTCAGTTGGCAAGATCTTGGATTCTGCAGCCGCACAATTCTGGATTGCGGCTGCGAAGCATCTTCTGCAGCTGCACTATTCTTGTGCGATCCGCACTTCAGCAAGGCTTCAGGTCTTGTTCTGATGCAAGATCAAGAATGCTAAAAATTCATGAAATTCAAGAAGCGAAGAATCCATCCAAGATTAGGATTTCTTTTCCTTAAAGATTAGGATTTGTTATTTCTTATTTCCTAGTAATTTAATTCTTGTTTTAGTAGGATTATATTTGTAGTTCTAGTCAAACTAGAATTGTTAGTTGGTATCCCATTCTTACTAGAATTCTTTTTCCTATTTTAGTTAGGATAGATTTTCTTAGCCTTATTCTTATTCTAGTCTAATTAGGATTAGTTTTCCTTAACCTTACCAATTTTACTCATTGTAAGGCCTATTTAAAGGGCTTAATATGCTGAAAATAAACATTGGTGATTAGTTTTTCTAAGTTATTGCTTCAAAAACGTGATTTATTTTATATTTCATTGTTCTTCCTTTATTCAACTCTTCTTGCAATCTTGCGGGATTGGGGAACGTGTGGGTGAGGTTTCTTTCCATCTTACATTCTTCTAACGTTAGTTTGAAGAACGCTTTCGCTAGTTTTGTGAAAAACTTTAGCGGGGTGCTTTTGTTTTTCTCTCTTCTTTGTACTTGAGAGGTGCAAAACCTTGAAAGTACATCATGTTCTTTTGAACACTCTTTGAACTTTGAATCATTTGTCAGTGCAGACCTTGTTCTGCAGCCGCATAATTCATGTGCGGTCCGCACATTGGCCAAATTCCTGCTCGTCTCTTTCACTTGATCTGCAGCCGTAGATGGAATTCTACGGTCCGCACTTTCTTCTGCGGACCGCACTTCTTTAGTTCTACACCCTTTCTTGCCTTGTGATTCGAAACATTCCTTTTTCAATCGGATTTTATTGTGGGAGACCAAATTTCCAGTATTCCTGTAATTTGCACACTTTTATTAGTTTCAGATTATAAATCAATACTTTCGAACTGAAACAAAAACAAAACTTTGCTAATAACTAGTCAAAATTCTCATTTATCAGAAATCACCGTGGTCGAGGGGGTTAAGTGACAGAGAGCATAGAGAGTCGAGAGATGAGAGACAACTTGGGCAGAAAAATGAGAGAGAAGTATATTTTTTCAAACTTTAGAGATGACCCAAAAAAAATTTAAATGTTAAAAAGGCCCCATCCACCTTAATGTCACGACCCAAAAATCGACCCGATCGTGATAGCGCCTATCGTGAAACTAGGACAGCCGACACAACTCCCGAATCAACCATTTTCCAATAAAATTTATTTTTAATCTATTTATAAACCAATAATCTCATAATGAAACTCAAAAGAAAAGTGCAGAATAATTACACAAGCCCGATATCGGGATGTCACTAGTCATAAGCATCTACCAAGGTTTGAATACAACAAGGTCTAAAAATGTACTAAATACAGTAATGAAAAAATAAGGAAGGAAAGCAGTGCTGTAAACGTCGTGCAACCACCTTGCTAACTTCGACGACTCCGCCTCTGAGCAATCAACACCTGCTACTGGCTTCCGAAATACCTGAATCTACACACGAGGTGCAGGGAGTAATGTGAGTACTCTAACCCAGTAAGTAAGAGTAAATAAAAACTGAGCAGTAGGAAACGATGAATCCACATTTGTGATAAACTCAATAAGCACAACAGGCTTTCAAATCAGAATACGAGTCAATCGTCTCATTTAAAATCCAGCTTTTGGTGAAAAAAAATTGAAAATGCTTTCTAAGAGTTTTCGTAGGGGTTCAATACCATTTTTAATAAAAGAGATGAAAACCATAACCGGTCCCTCGGGAAAAACATAGTTCGTAAACATCCCCTCGGCAAAACAAGAATCATAAACACCTCATATCATAAAAGTCTCAGTGGAAACAACAAAGCCAAAATCAGTGATTAAATACAGAATATATCATAAAACTCTAGCTTAAATAAAAGTTGTTTAAAAGCATTTGTTCAACATTCAACAGAGGCTCAGTATAAAGAGGAGTGGAAACAGCAATTTCATAAAACAAGCCCCTTGCGCAAAGCATCACTCATATATGTATACAGCCCATCAGGCAAGCCTCTCAGTCACTCGAGACTCAACTCTCATCAGTCAGTGCTCACACTCAGCACTCACACTCAATAAGTACCACATAGTAACCGTTGCGGCGTACAACCCGATCCATTTATCGTTGCGGCGTGCAGCCCGATCCATATATATAGTCGACTGCGCTCACTAGGGGTGTGCAGAATCCGGAGGGGCTCCTACAGCTGAAGTGCTATATCGCTGCAGCGTGCAGTCCGATCCAATATATCGTTGCGGCGTGCAGCCCGATCCATATATATATATATATAAATATTGTTGCGGTGTGCAGCCCGATCCAAAAATATATAATCCTCACAACCAGGCCCTCAGCCTTTCTCAGTCATTAACCTCACCATCAGAACTTCGGTCTATCTCAGTCATTAACCTCACAATCAGACCTTCGGTCTATCTCAGTCAATACCCTCACAATCAAATCCTCAGTCTATCTCAGTCATCAACCTCACAATCACTCGGACTATCAGTAAAACAGGGAACTCAGCTCAAACAGTTTTCACATTTTTAAGAATTTAAGTGATAAAACTAGATTTAAACAATAAGCAGGTAAATCATGACTGAGGATATGCTTTCAAAATAATTAGAGTGAGTAAAAATAGTAAAAATGACCCTAAGGGTCTCAACAGGTCGGCACAAGGCCCCAAACATTGCATACAACCCAAAATATAATATCAATCTCTAAAATATGGAATATCATAAGATTTCAAATCATATACGTGACTTAACAGTCGTACGAGACGGACCAAGTCACAATCCCCAATGGTGCACGACTCCACGCTCGTCATCTAGCGTGTGCGTCACCTCAAAGTAGCACAACGATGTGAAATTCGGGGTTTCAAACCCTCAGGACAACATTTACAATCATTACTTACCTCGATCCGGTCCAAACTCTAGCCCGCAATGTCTTTGCCCTCACGAATCGACCTCCGGATGCTCCAAATCTAGCCATAA